TGTTGTTTTTAGAATCAGATTTCTCCTACCTCGAAGCACTAGCCCCTTATCAACCCTTGGCAATGAAGGTATGTGTTTTAATCCTGCACAACCAGGCGAAACCTGCGCGCATCAATCCAGGCTTTGGGTTTTGACACTATCAAGGCTTTRATTTTCCCCTCTAAAATAAYGGTTGCGCATGAGAAGGCAYATGAATATGGTTACAAGTCAAACAAAGAATCTAATTCTAAAGRRAATGACACGTGGTYTGAAATGGGGARAAATCTCACTCAAGCTKGAAAGGTCTATTACTGACGCACACCCATGGTAGGTATGATAATAGACGGAATCCAAAACACGAGAAAACCTGCCGGCGTTCTCTGGTCGCTTTGGCATAAAAAGCGCTTTTTAGTTACATGTTTCTTAAGATACTGCGTGTGCCTTGGACGTATATTGAAGGAAACAGGGTTCTGTTCTGCCTCAACTAAACACAATCATATTCTATCCACTTACTTTAGTTTGCAAGGGTGCTATTCAGTCGTTGCTAGAATTTTTTTTTTTTTTTCCTAGTAGCGAGAAACGAGCGAGTGAATTTTACCGCTGAGTTATGGAGGATGGGGTGCTATTATAAATGCAATCATACTCTATTCGTTACTTTACAGGCATGTTATTGTCCTATCGATCCRAGGCTTAATTTTGGACAAGCGAATAAACTATTACGGGAATTGAAGGTAGGCAAAGATTTGAGTAGATTTTCACCACCTCTCGTTATAAGTTTCCTGTAGAAGATTTTATCCCAATTTTCAGATATTGTTTTCTTGACGTTTTTAGCCTGGACATCTGGTTATTCCAGAAGTGTACACTCGAACCCCGGCTCTACTTCCACAGAGAACAGACTTAACTATACAAGATATGGTAAGWTGATGGGAATCAAGGGTGGATAAGTGGGAAGTGTACGTACTCGCCTCATTTCTGGGGTATTGCCTTCGATTTTCCGGCCCCTYGAGTAGAGAGTGTTAGGTCTCTCCCTTGATTCGAGAGTTTTATCCAGGTTCTCCGGTTTTCCTCCCTCAAACCAATTCACGCTCAATTCCAATTCAATCTGTGATCTAGCCGCATCCTGACTTTAATCAGCCCAAAGGTTGTATTAGGGTTCGAGAACATTTGAAAGGTGGTACCGGTACCAGTGTTGTTAAGTTTTCCATGAATAGAGAACCGTTGACAAGAGCTTGGTCCTATATTACTAGTAGTGTATAAAGTAAAACGTTCTGATATTATAATGTGAATGACAATGAACATCACTCTTTAGGATGGGGGTAATGTTCTCCCATTTCAGARCATGCGTCATTCTCTTGAAAATAAGATTCTTTGTTTGAGTTGTATCCATATTTATGTGTCTTCTCATGCGCAACCGTTAAACAAAGGAATAATCCTCAAGGGAATGACACGAAAATGAAATGGGAAACCGATTCACCTTGAGATCTACTGAAATACGTTTAGACGTTTACACTGGCGATTTTTGCGGCGATTTTTGAGGCGATTTTTGTGGCAATTTTCGGGAATATGAAATCTTTTGTCTCATCCTTCAAAAGAGACATTCGTCTAGGAAAATCTTGGTATCCTGAAAAAAACTTTACAAGTAAATTCTTTACCATTATTTATTATGGACAAATTCGCAAAAMAATCGCAGCAAAAATCGCCGCAAAAATCGCTAGTGTAAACGGGGCTTAAAGCTGAAGATGATGGGCTAATAAAAATGTGTTTCTTTGACAGGAATGCCAAGTATCAACCATCGGTCATCTAGACATCTTAACTTTACCAGTATCAAGGGAGTATGAGAAAGTAATCTTGGACAACAGGGTAGGTAACCCGCGCAAAATTCATGCTGGATTGAATCTTTAAATAAATAAAATTGCGCGGGATGCTGAGTCATGAAGTTACTGAAAAAAATGATAGTGACCAGCGGGGTACTAGTTTGGGATTGCGTCGGTGTGTCGTAAACAACAAGTAAAGGAAACTTAAACATCGCGTAAAAAAATCTGGAACGCTGCTTCTTCGTTGGAAAAAAAAAATATGGGTAGAAAATTTAAATGTTGGTAATAGTAGCGCTCGCACTGGATCTAGAGTCCCGTATGAGAGTCCTACATATTTCTGGAAGCTTGTAATGATACAGTCGTATTTAACTTACAATTTTCTTAGTGTACCTTTGAAGATATTTGATTCGAAGAAAAAGTTCGATATTTTCAAAAGTCGTGAAAGGTGGACACGCAAAGACACTCACTCGGGATAGCTTTGGGTCCCTAACCCTGATCTGTCCCCAGCTCAGACACACACAAGAAGCTAAATATCTAAAAACAATGGATTTCCAATATGTCTAGTAATAATAYTTGCAACACTCGTCAAAGAAATCGTATTTTAATGGTTAAGAAGGTAATTACAGTTTGTTCAGTTGTAATCGTTATGAATCTTAAAGGTAAAAATACAAGTACCTAGTATCGATACTCGWTCAGTTTTAGATCATTTTGTTGTGTTTTTTTTTAATCACTGGCTGGCTCAAAACCAAGTTAAGCGCATACGCAGTGAGTTGCTGGGCAGTTTCCGAGAGCACACATTTGATTGCACCAGTCATTCATGCCAGGCTGGGTATCGTAAGGTGGGATGGCCTTGCAGGGTCCGCTGGGTGGTGGTGGCTGGGTAACTGGTGGCTGGGTAACTGGTGGTTGGGTAGCAGGATCAGTAGGACCTATAGGAGGAGAAGGTCCACCACCACCAAGATATCTCTTGACTGCGTTCATCAATGGGTATGGTCCCTGACCACAAAAATTTCCACTGAAGTCATCCAAAGGAAGAGCCCAGAACATGGCACCAGCTAAACCCTTGGCTTTAATGATCTGATCGACCTTCAACTTTAAGCTGGATGGATCATCATATCCTACCCATTGGTCGTTGACATATCCGTAGGGTGCCTTGACTGCGCTCTGCTCCGTTGAGGTTCTCTTCAGATTCATTTTACAGATCTCGTAGTACGCCAAGAAACCAGATTCGCGAGTGTACTGTCCTTTTGTGGGGTTTCCACGGGCAGGTGCTCCCAAACCGTTATCGTTTGCGTTAACCAACTTGAATGCGCGACCATAGGTTCCCATGCCAAGAGCAATCTTATTGGCTGGTGCACCCTTGTCAATCCAATACTGAACAGCAAATGAAACTGTCAAGATCTCGCCTGGGGGTCCAACAAGAGCGGTGTGGTGACCAGTATTGGATTCCCACTTTCCACGCAAGTCGTAGGCCATCAAGTTGATCAAGTCAAGGATCTGAGCAATCTTAGGAACCTCGTAGGCCTTGTCGATGGTTCCTTTGCCTGCAGCTACGGCAGCGGTGAGGAGGAGTCTTGGTCTGTTTGTTTCTTGAGCCTCCCGTTTGAAAGCATCCAACAATTCCTGGCAAAGRACGGTAAACCTCTGCTTGTCCTCAGGAGGGGATCCACCACGATCCTTGACACCRGGGTACTCCCAGTCCAGATCAAACCCATCAAATCCCCACGTTCGCAGCAACTTGATGGAGGAGTCAATGAACACTTTCCTGGTGGCTGCTGTCCTCACCATCCTCGAGAAGGGGCTGTTGTAGTTCTCGTGGTTCCAACCGCCTACAGCCAACAGAGTCTTGAGAGCTGGGTTCTTCTTCTTAAGGTTATTGAACCTSGGGTAGAGTTTATCATCGTTCCATTCGAACATGGCCAATGTGTTGTCCTGTGCAATCTTTGCGAAGGAGTACACTAAATGGGTACAGAGAAACGGGTCGATGTTCTCAGGGAAGTATCTGCCAGCTCCTGGTCGGTACTGAGACCAGTTAGTGTGGTAACACACTCGGACATAGCTGCCCGTGGCGTAGGAAATAACTGCCAACAGCAATACGATCAAGAGTCTCATGATTACCCAACTCTTTGAATGCTGTGAATGGATTGTTGTTCAGTATTTATAGGTATTTTGCAAAAAGGAACCTTGTTCAGCTGAGTAAATGCTTCCACCAAAAAAAAATCCCTAGGACATTTGAAAGTTCTTTTTCGCATGTATTGTCTTTACCTTCGTTGTTAACAGCTGGTTCCAAGGTAAACTCCTCGTACGAATGTTTACAGTTGTAGTTTTTTTGGTGACTCTCCTTGACATCAGCTGCTTGGTGTCCACTTGCATGAAACAGAAGCTCAACGGCTGACTTTGCAAGACTGAGTACACAATGTAACAACTTGTTTAAAAAAGATTAAATCTTATGATTTTTGTCTCAGAATCAAGAGTAATACACGTTTCGGTGTATTTACAAGATGTGCCTCCTTCTCCGCTCGATTTAGAATAAAATAAAACTTGGTCAAAAGTTTACTTACTCCATGGTTTTTCAGTATATTCAATTGTCCAGTTTTAKTGACGAATTTCTTTTACTCGAGGTTTGATCATGAAGTTTCTTAAGCATAGATTTCCCATCTTTTATGGGAATACTCCCCATRGAAAAGATGTTCTTTATGATTACACTCTAGCATGTCAACTCGTATGCTAGGGCACGGGACATCAATACAGTGGTGGAGAGTCTGTTAMCTAAAAAGCCAGTATATGGCTTTCTTTTTAGATTTACGGTACTTTTTATTCTTATTCTCAAATTTCCAAAATGAAATTGCTACCACCTAATCCTCCTTGGACTCGGTTGCACCCTTGGGATAGGTGTGTTCCGTGGAAGGCCGTGAATGGCTATTTTTAAGGGTTGTATAAGAGATCACTAAATTGAAGGTGCTGCCTTTGCTCTAATAACATCAACAATAATTAGACCTTCATGGTGGCATGAATAGCCATGGCATGAATGGCTCTATACTTGCAACTGTTAAGACCAAGCATAGCTTCCACTTTCATTGTTTATATATATATTAATATCTCTTCTGGTGTCATTCATCTTGTGTTCTACAATTCTCTGTGGTAAATTTTTAAAATTTCTTTAATGACTTCCCTAATACTGAGATGGTCACTCGTCTATAATGAACAAGGTCAGGAATCCCTCGTATCTTCGTATATTTTTAACGACATTTCAAGTTGCGATCTTTTTTCAAAGTTCTTATTATAAGTGTGGGTTTCTATAAATACCATGCACTCAAGGCAACAAAGGCAGAAGATCTTCAGTCTAAAGCCAAAAATCGAGACATCAGGCTGACTCGGTATTGAAATTACTGGTCAAGTTGAGGCTTGACTAGTCCTTTGGTCAAAACAATGAAAAATACCAAAAGAGATTTCAATCCTCAACAAAAGGGGATTCTTTAGTTTTGATCCATAGATTGGGAATTAATGTAATGGTTCTGTAGATAAATATAAGCTAACARGAATATACAAAAGAAATCCTGCATTTTCTCCCAGGAACAAGCCGGGGTTTCTTYTTCATTGTTCTATCAGCTAATCCATACCCGAAAGATAATATGGCGAAAGATTTTCCACTTTGTTACTGAAGAAAATTTAGGTAAAAGTCAACGAAAACCAGGAAATTTATTAATTCCTTTCTGTTTTAACTTTCTTTTTATTCTGTGAGATTGGAACTGAATTAATCTAATATGCATACGCGAAAACACTGAGGGCTTACTACAAACAGCGCATCTTACTGTATCTTAACGCGGTATGAGATTTACACAAGCTCGTGCACGGATTTCCAATACTTTGACATTTGAATGTAATATTGACAGAATAGGATAGACACTATGTGTTCATGTGTTTCGCCTGTGTTGTATCGCAACCGTCCCATCAGCTGTTACCTCCTTCTGTCTCTTTGTTAACACAGCCGTTATAGCTGTTCCGAGTATAGCTTTTGACCTTTTACCACAGGGAACCCRATCAGAGTTTTTGACGTCCTCACACACATTCCATTTTTGTAAAAGAAAATTKTCATTAARACATAACGTTCTTYCGTCTAAATGTTATTCACATATTTTTTGGGATGTCGTATACCGYCGGGAACGTTTTTTGAGATTAGTTGAATTTAGTAATTTTGTAGCGTTTCGTGTTTCGAGTCTGAGGAAGAGTATTAAAGAAACTGAAAAAAACTCAAATTCTTTCGCAGGAAACTGATTCTTTCTCTTTTTAATTTTGATTTCATATTTAAAATAGTTGTCCTGTTAATTGAACTCGTGGTCCCACACCGTACAGTGGCGAATCCGTCAAAAMAATTCCAAGGCGGTTGCTGTTACCTAGAAAAGCATCAGATAGCGTCTATATTTTTTTCAACCTCAAGGGAGGGGTGGGGGAARGCCACCCAATCCACCCCTGAATCAGGCCTTGCCGTACCCGATTTTGGTGCCTTCTCGGCTTGGTTTCTGTTATCTAGTAAACCAAATCATTACTATCATATTTATTTATTTATTTATTTATTTATTTTTCTTTTGCTGACAGTCCTCAATTCCAATTCTAATGTATTTTCTTTTATTAGATTTCAAATTTTCTCGTCCCGCGAGAAGTCAGGCCAGGTGTGGCTGTTGCCACGGTAACGGGTACCTTGGTAACCCAAGACAACAAGTACACACTCGAGCCACTTAACTTTGAACACGACGGACAAGAGCGAAGCCGAGAGTAAGTGATACTTTATCATTTACCATATATCATGCTCTTTGTAAATATTGATCATTTCATATTGATATACRGCTTTTTGGAAGAGCATTTTTATGAAGAGATCCCGTATTGAAATAAAGGATATGATGTGTGTATGTATGTATTCCATGAAGGGATTCAACGATAATTTCTAATGAGAAAGAAATGATTTTTTTTTTTTTTTTTGCAGTCCAAAAAGTGATGCCAACAACAAACAGCCTTCAAGACATCTATGGGGATCTGTCTCAGTTGAAGACTTAATTCAATCTCTAGCCAAGGTAAATCATTTTAGTTGTCTCTGATTGGCTTAAAAATGATTGGGTTTATAACACACAGAAAAAAATTCGTATCGTGACTGTGTAATATTCTCACGGACCTGAAGGCCATTCTTCATATTTGCGGCAGTTTTGGGGCGACCTTTTGCATTTTGGGGCKACCTTTTGCATTTTGGGAAATTCAAACCGATCCGTTGCCCATCACTTTTAGCACTTTACTGACCAACTTGAAGTAACAAACCTTACTAAAGTAAAACTAACTTACTATTGTGAACCAATGACAGAGAGGCATTCATGATGTCAACACAGAGTCGAGTTCTGGTGGACACACCCTTCACTTGGTATGTAACTTCATTACGTGTTACTGTTCTGGTTTTGTGTGTGTTAAGTCCCCCATGCGTTTACGTAAATGTAGGGTGACCTGTATTCTTTGATCTTCATTCTTTTGTCTGTTGGCACCTATGTAAGCAGTGCTAATCTAATGTTATTCAGTGTTTTTTCATCCCCTAGATCTTATCATGTCTGTCCTTGCTTCACCTTCCAGCCTAGTGTCAAATGGCACTTGAGGTGCCTTGTCACATCTTAAGCTAATGGCAATGTTGTGGATGGATGCTCTTTCGAGCAATTAAAATTGACATTTTTGCATTTTTCAGCCAGAAGATGACGCTATGATCCAGTTGGATCGAGGCAGCACCCACATCATCACTCATGGAAATGAGCTCCTCAGAATTCGAATACGAGATGCCTTACTAGACTGCTTACCCCAGTTTTAGGCAAAAAACTTTCATTTTATGGTATTTTATTATAATTTCCCAATATAAGGTTAAAAAAACCAAACCATATATGTACATAGTTTTTCAAAAACTGCATTCCMATTCCTAGGCAATAATAAATATTACAGAACTAGCAGAAGCCATATCTCATAAGATTCCGTTTATGTCCAAGCAAGATTTTCAGTTCAGAAACATAAATTTTGGAATTATTTCTTTACAGGTATACTTACAACTGATTTATTTTCATTCCGAAAATACACCTATTTCAGAAAAAAAAAAAAACGTCATCGCCAAAAGCGATAGGCGATTGGTCATCCTGAGATGGAAATGGTTTAGTTGACTAACAAACAACATTGAATCAGTCTCAACACTTAGGTTCATGTTCTTGACGAGAATAAGAAGCAGAAACACCTGAAGTCATTCCAACTATTCTTGGATCTTGGAATGGCCTACTAGGTTGGACTGATAAAATTGAAGTTGTTGTGCACTAAAGAACGATCGCTCTTTTAAGACTAATCGCCCAGATATTTGAAATAAACCGATATTCGAAAGGWGCTAGTTTACGATATAGCGGTGAGTATTCTCCTCATTATTACAAGACGTTCTTTTAGTGATTTCAAGCCAAGCAGGTTGATTTGCGTTTTAGGGTCGAGCGGGCAGATGGCTATKAACCACCACAGCCATTGTGGACCATGAGGAAGCTTCTCTGCATTGTCATCCCACGGTGGAAAGTCACTCACTGAAGTCACSATCCGTCTCTGAAAAGTAAGCGAGTAACCATTAATACAAGCGGCTCAATGAATTTATCATGGTATTTAGAAATGTTGATGGTGCTTAGAAGAATTGAAAACTGAAGAACCTGGGAAAAACTTGAAGAAAGAAATATCAGACTCTGGCCGGTTCACAACCGACGACAGGTTCTTGAGAGCTCTGTCCCATTAGGCACCCATGAAAAATAGTTAAGGAAAAAAAACTTTTGCAAATACTTACTCTCACTAGCAATGGTAAGTTGTCAAACCATCGCTTCGCTTCGCCGTACACTTCACTGATAACACGTTTGAGTTCGGCTGAAGAAAATGTGAACAAAACAAAACGCTAATATCAGAAAATTGTCGAGTAGTTTCTCCTGCCCCTCGATACAGGTTGATTTGGTGGAAAATACAAGTAACGGTAAGAGGGGTGACTTACCTTCTTCTTCTGCTGCTTCAACAGGCTCGTCTGCTATCCACTCCACTTTAGCTACACTATATCCATCACGCATTCCTTTGCTTAATACCTGCAAAGTAGGCAAAATTGAACTCGGCAAGTCACTAGTAACCATTGGTTACTTGGCAAGTATTTCGATGGTTAAGACACAACGCAGTGTTGTAAAAAAGAGTCCTCTTTACGTTGGGCCTAATGTTTTCCCATTTCAGTATTAGTTCAGTTATTACTTATTCAGTTCACACACTGTGATAAGCTCCGTGCCGTGCCCGTGATGTGATTGGACTCGCAAYGTGATTAGGTCTGACAGTGCAATGCGGCTATGAAAACCAGCAATGCCTGTAGTTTATTGGACGTTTAAAACTCTATATTTTAGGGTGTACCTTAAATCTCCGCCCTCCGATAGTATTCACGAACGACCGTCCATCAGCTAGGAACTGGACATTAATGATTTCAAGCATTGTTCCATACTCTGAAAAGCTAGAAGAAAACAGTTGCTCGATGAAATAAAGTCATGACAAACGATTGGAATGGGTGATGACAATATTATGGGAAACCCATGCATGCGAAACTGTTTGGATGAAATGATGATTTATGATGGCAGTGATGATGATGGTGATGATGGTGATGATGCAGATGATTGATACAATGTGATCAAGAAAATGTTGTAGTCCCACCCTGTATCTCCATCGTAAGCACACTTGCCAAACTGTTTGGATGTAATGATGATCGATGGTCGCAGTGATGATGGTGGTGGTGATAAATGTGATGACATGATGTAGTCTCACACTGTATCTCATCAATGTAAACACACATGCCAAACTGGTTTGGTTTAATGATGATGATAAAAAATGTGAAGAATATAATGTAATCTCACCCTGTATCTTCATCGTAAGCACACATGCCAAACTGTTGGGATCCAGACTCCATGCATTGCCTCACCATCAGTCTGTACCGGGGCTCAAAAATATGCAAAGGGCAAGCCATCATGGGAAATGCTAGGGTACATACGAAGATTGGGATGTCATCTGCAGTGTTGCTTGCAACGCTTGGAGAAAAAGAAATCGCTCGATAAATCTATACAGCTTACAATAATAACGCCAAAATTGGTTTTCATACTGAAGTCTAAAAAGTCATTTTGGCAACTCCATACCTTAAGTATTTTCAAAAACCTCAATTTGATTTTAAGTGCATCCGTCTAATCCCACTTTCCCGCCAAAATAATAAGCAAGTTTCCGTTTTCCCATTCCAGTAGTTGTTACAAACTTATTTCAATAAAATTAGTCGCCTGAAAAGCCACAAGGCCCAATGACTGACAATAAGTCTTGATGGACTTGAGTTGTACCAGTTACGTTACAGTTTCACCTCCCGTGAGCATCCTCAAGCTRCAATTTGTATCAAAACCTTTCCTTGTTGAACTGTAAAAAGTAAAGTGTTTCAGTCCCATKGCGTTAACTCAGCGATCTCGGCTTTGAAGGATTTTTGTGGCAATTTTTGTTGAAATAAATATCAGCGTGCACTTGTTCAAATACCTGGCAAGCCTCTCCATCTCTTCAAGATGAATCTTTTTTCTTTCWTCATACTGTCCCGTTAGGTAAGTCTGCATGATTTTCTCGATGCCAATGGTTACAGCCTGTTGAAATGAAAGAGTAAGTAAAGACGAGAGATTTAAGCTACGCAGGGACAGGGTGAAACATTGCGCGTAATGTTACAGGCAATCAATGTTGCGAGCCATGTCACAGGACACGATTTGTTGCAAGCAGTGTTGCTGAAGTGGAAAACAATCCGTGTTACGAAAAGAATTAACTGTACAGCGCTTAAAACGACTTTTATATTAGCTCGATCCAGGGTTTTTAATCAAATCAAACCCCGCGTCTCTGGACATTTACTTTATAATTAATAGCTCTTTAACACCCCAAATCAAAAATGCTTTACCTGATTTCTCAAAGCCAAAACCTGTGGAAAAAATGTTCAGAAGAAACATTAACAAAACTATTAATAATTAACATACATTAATGATACCCAAACGCTATTCATTCTAAATAACTATTTTATTCTTAATACAAGGCCTGATTGTACGTATGGTGGATAGCCCTATTCAACAGATAAAATTTATTGGATAAGAGCGTCGGCTTATCTCTTTGGTTGATGGAACACCTGAAGCYACAAGGTAATGGCATGAAAAGAGAAAATATATTATAAAGGAACAGAAGATCGAAATGGGAGTTGCAGAAGAGAGAGTACCTGAGAGAGCGAACCTCGACAAATTGGACAGCCAGGGTTATGATCAAGGCTGCGGTTGAGACAACTTCTACAGAAGACATGACCACATGGTGTTGTGATAGGCTCGTAGAAAAGTCTGTACAAGAATATACGACCATTAGAGCATGAAAAGTATGCCATCTTTAAAGGCGCTTGTTATCTTTTATTGTCCCTAGCGATGATTGCAACATGATACTCTCTTGAATCCCGAATAGTTAAGGGAAATTTTGAGTCGAAAATGCGCCGTTTAGCGACTTAGGAACATCTTTGCATGAGATTCAAAGTGCGTACTATCCAATCATAAAATGCGCAGCATCATTCAAAGGCTGAAACCTGCATCCAATCAGCCAATTATAGTTCAGTATAGACTGACAAAATTTAATACGTGATCTCACCTACAGCACAAGGTGCATTCAAAGTCCTCTGCATCACAATCTTTCCAGCTGACTATTTCTTTCTTAGCTTTCTTCTCACATGGTTCTGCACGAGACACATCGGTCGTTAGCATGAATCCATACCATATTTACTATAGATCACGATGTGGGGAAAAATAGTTATACAATGCTTAATTTTTTTGGCAAACCATGGAATATCTCACGAGCCACTGTGTTTACTCAGAAAATTCAAGTGAAAAGTGGGTTATTCCATCGTGCCACAAGAAAGCATTATATTGTATACTATTTCATCACACGCCTATACCTAAAAATATAGTCAAGAAATTGAAAACTCCACAATGCCTGAAAAGAGGAAACAGTGGAATACCGCTGAATATACAACGACTTTCCTGAATTCTAATTGGTCTTGCATTCCGATAATTTTACGTAACGTTTTCATGCTCATGGAAATAAAATGGCTGCTGCATGATAAAGCGAGGTCCATAAGACATAAAAACGTCAACTAACCGTCTGATTCATCTTTGACTGATTCTTGGTCGTCAGGTACTTTTAAATTCTCAACCATTTTAATCAATTCTTTTAGCTGACACTTTTCTTCATTAGCATTTTTTTCCTGCAACTCGATGCCTTCGGAGTTTTCTCTTGACGTCATGTGAAGTTGGTGAAACATCTTCAGTACAACCTGCATGATAACATGAAATAGAAGAAAAAAATATAATTATTCCAGTTATGGCTACTAGCGTTGTACTTAATCCACTACCAAGTCAGCAGGACAGATTTTAGAAATGCACAGAAAGAGGTTGACCATTAGAGACTATCACTGTAAAATCCCTATGTAACTTACAGAAGAACTTACAGACTTTATATTGGTAAACTCTATAACAATCCCCTATACTTTAATTATTATTTTTGACTGTTTTTATACATTTCCACATGATTACATGTAAATATTAGAGTTTTTATAATACACTTGACAAAATTACTCGATTCTGATTGGACAAGAGGAGTACAATTAAATCCCAAATTGTACTCTTAGAGTCCCTATTAAGTTGCTCAATTTTTTTAGCGTTTTTATTACGCAATTTGGAATTTATAGATACTCATGATGTTTTGAAAGTTCTTAAATTGGAATCRCCTAAAAGCTCGTACAAATTTTGAAAACTTTCAAAAACATATTTCGAATTGAACTCCAGATTGTGCAATTTCCTATACAAATAATACAGGTGTCAAAAAAGGGGGAAAGGGTTGGGGGTTTGAAGGACAATTATTACAGCATGTTAATGTCCTCACAATCCCTGGCATTGCCATTTAATTTCTTTCTTTCTCAATCCTAAAGGACTACTTACCTCAACTGTTGACTTCTTGATCCAAACATTAGTTAAGTCTCTGGAAAGACACTGAAGAAATGCAACAGCTGCCTCTGTATCTTTCTGTAATCCAAGCAATGCACAGCCCTTTCTGTAGTAGCCCTAAGGAAAGAGTCACTTAATTCAGTTATCCACACTGCTTTATAGAATATGAGAATAATGATAATAATAATCACATAGAAAATTGATGAAACAGACAAAAAGAATTCGGAAACAAAATTCTGATCCCAGATGGAATTTGAACCCACAACTTCATCTGACTGGTACATGGAGGGTGGTGGGTTTGGTTTGATGAAATTTGAATGGTGATGGGAGTTRATTTTTGCTGAGGGAAAAAAACTGGAGAACTGTCAAAAAAAGACCAAGAGAGAATCCAACTAGCATGATATGACATAAACATACTACATCTAGTTTACATTGGTGAGTTACCGATGGGTGAGATTGAGCCAAACATAACAAATTCCCACCTACTCCCCCCCCCCAAAAAATTTTGTTGGCTTAAAATTTCTAGATCTTTCTTTTCACATTAAGTGTGATGACAGAATGTCAATAKCCAYTGATTATRGGGTTTGAATATTACCTTTGGCCAGTCAGGGTACAGTTCACATGCTTTTAYWGCATTTTYCAGTCCTTCCTGGAATCTCCCAAGYTGTGTCATGACATGTGAGATGTTGCTCCAWAGCAGAGGATTATCAGGATCTGGTGATAAAATTTATATAGCTTGGTTATCRAAGCAATGAAATGATTGTGTAATTRGCCTAATTKCACACTAAAGAGGGTTTGGGTGGAGGTAGACAAGCCATGCTTTATAAAGAATACAATATCAAGATACTCAATCTCCTGATTGATATCTAGAGTTAGAATCAATACTTTGATATTTGAACTTGAACACATATGCAAATTCCATTCATACTGCCCTACGCCACTTACATGCCATGTTTGGTCAAGCATCCTACGCAGATGTTCTTAATGTTGACAAGGTGACGACTTCTTAAAAACTTTTCTATTACATTTTCTTGTAAAAAAAAAACCTAGAAACAACTTATCGAAACTACTTCAAACTTTCCCAATTTAGAAATATTTGTATGCCCTTTTCAAACACAACGTTTCTGGGGTGAAAGCATGGAATCAATTGAAAAATTGAAATTTAAGAAATGTCACACAATATAGATAGGTGATACGAGGCAGTAAGAGGCTGGTGATGAAAATGATATAAATTCCGTAAAATCTAATACATAAACGTAAATAGAAACATAGGGGGCCAGGGGGACCCACCATCCCCAACGCTTTTCCAATGAATAAAGCTATAATGGAAGGACCATTCCGGATAATATTCAAGGAAAATATCTAACTGTACGCAAAAAAAWAMCSTRCAAGGGTTGARCCAAAAWRTAAATATCATRCAACCAAAATTCCTGCAATCCCCTAAGYCCTTTGTTACGTAACAATTATARTTATGCAAMAAYAWTTTTTYATAAAAATATATGKCCATTAACTCACGYAGTTTAAGAGCTTCTAGATATTTTTCAAGTGCTTGTTCTGGTTTATTTTCTTTCAGAAGATCATTTCCTTCTATTCGTAAGTTCGCAGCTTTCACTTCATTCGAGTAGTGCTTATTCATTATAGCTTGTAACACAACATTTACTTTGACTTTATACGAACAGAACGGCTTGGAGCAGACTTTGCAGACTTTGTTTTKTAATTTAGCGATACAGGATTGGCAGTTCGTGTGTCCACAAGGAAGTGTTATAGGATCTAGTGTAATTCCCTTACAGACGGGRCAGAGAATAAGTTCGTGGGTATGAGAATATAAAGCCTGTTGTGAAAGCACCACAGTGGAAATTTTATTAACAAGTCCATCGATAAACGGCACAATGTCTGTCTCTTTGAGCACAGATATCCCTAAGGCATTCCTGTAGCAGGCCACGGCATCATTAAACCGATTTAGAAGAATTAAAGTCTGTGCTTTCCCCAAAAGTACTTCGAATTTGTGACTCCCCTCTTCGGCGAGCAGACGTTCGTATATCAACAAAGCATTTTCGTAATTTCCTTTGGATATTTCTTCCTTCGCTTCTTTATCCATCCTTTGCAAATGCCAACACAAAGAAACAAGTTTTCTTCTAAAGCTTCTTAGGACTTCAACGGGACATAATATTACAGAACTCCGAGTATCCAARTCCATGTAATATGTTATTCTCTTCTGGACGACCAGTTTGAGAAGCATATTATATAATATTCAYACGTCACGTGAATCATCATAAACAAATAATTATATGCATGTAAAGGGATTAATAAATGAACTGTATAGTTACGTAATAAATGAAGGTGTGAAAGTAAAGGTGGGTAAAACAGAGAAGAAGAAAATCGCAGGCAAGAATATTTCAGACAATATAATGATAGTAATCTTAGTAATGTATGTTATTAATGTAAATAATGTATTTCTTTCCTAGCTACCATCATTCTATATTCTATTAATAATATTTTTAATCGTGTATATTATATAACATGTTCGACGCCAGTCCAAGTCAGTCAGCGCCTCGTGTTTTCGTGCACTTCTCGATATGACACACATGTGGAGTTAGACGGATCGAATAGTTACTACAAATGATATTCAAAATTTACGATTCGTATCGGAATATGCCATATTGTTATTACTTTCAATTTCAAAATACCTTTAAAATAGTAATATTATAATTTTGAAGTTGTCTTCCTTTTAATTGCCTTCTGATTACATAAAGTACATTGATCAATGATGTCAAGGCTGTGCTAGGTGTGGGGAGCTGCATGGTTTGAAATATCCATGGCCAGCTGTAAATCTATATATGTATGTATCATTTTGTAACATCTATTCTGACTCACAATAGGGTGRGTAGCGCTATCCAACGGATACATCCTTTTCCAGTGGATAAGTTGAAGCTGTTATCCAATACATTTATCCACTGGATAAGATTTATCCGTTGGATAGCGCTATCCCATCCACCTACCTCCTTTGACTGCTGCGCTTTTGTTTGGCTGCCCCTAGCACAGGTAGCCTAAGCTGGCTATTACTGTTGATTTATAGTCAAAGTACAGTAAAAATAAAATTCAAAAATTCATACRAATAAAGGTTTTACCTTGCGTCTTATGTTTTCTTTTGGGTAAATAAGAACTGAACGAGTTGCTGCAGCAACTTAAGCTACGGACATACGGTGCAACATTGCATGCGCTCAAAGTTGCATGCAATTGATGTAGCGAGCCATGACACACGACGCAATTTGTTGCACTCAACGTTGCTGAAGTAGAAAACTATCCTACTTCGCAATGTTGCACCGTGTGTCCGTACCATTATGGTTRGTGCTTGTGACAAGATGGTGCATGTTAGACGAGTTGGTGCATGTGACGTGTTGGTGCATGTTAGACGAGATGGTGCTGCAAATAACAAACGAGTTGCTGCGAATGAATTAATGCAAACTTGAAATAACAAGTGGTTGCAAAAAACTAGAATTCGTTTTTGTTTTGAGAAATCGTCAAAAATATTACATATTTATTTATTTATCATTCTTCTCGTTTGAAAAATAGCAATATATATGTGGAGGCAATGATGTTATTTACGATGCTTTAGAGCCATTTACTTACACTAAGGGACTGGGCAATGCAGTGATCAGTATCCCAAGATGCACTATGAATGATGTGAATGCAATCAGAAAGAACAGAATATGAAAAATTCACAAATCATGAAGAAGGGAAAGGTTTTGTTGCGTTTTTTTAATCGTTTATTTTTTAAATACTTATAGGATAGAAAAAGAAACCAGTAGTCARCATAAACTGCGGTTTTATTATTGGCTTGTGATTTCTCGTGCCTCGTATTATGAACTAAAATTGCCTTCACTGGTGCAGCTTTCTTGATTGATGATTGATCTCAGTCAAAYCCGTAAGTTTGGGACCGATTTGTGTATGGATAATTAATTTGACGGACTCACGCTGATTTCCGGTGAACTTTGCATGAATTCAAAAATGGTACAGCTTTTTCTTCTTCTTTTTGTTGGTTAGAGATTACGAAATCAATCGAAAACCCAGAACCGACACCCTTCGTATTTCGTTTGGAGGATTTCTCCTTTTCAAACTGCCCAAAAAGTTGTTTTTTAATATGGTGTATACGTAACAAGTACATGAACTTAGCGTGTACCAAAATGACATTCATTTATTTAAAACCCTCATGATTTATTATTTCCTCCAGGGACCTATTATGATTTATATGATTYATATTTCAAACTACAATGCAAGATTTGCTGGCCTTTTCCTCTCCTTTGGTCAGATCATAACTACCTGAAGTAGTCCCAACATGAGAAGAAAATGACACAGATTTTCCTTTATCAGAAGCACCATGCCCAGAAGTTGCCYTTTTGCTGTGTGCTGTGCCTACATTTTCATCATTAGCTTCAATTCCTTGATCTTCAGACACTGGACCTTCAGTGCCATGTTCTGCAATGGATGCACTGGATTCCTTATCCTTAACCTGGATTCCAAATGATCTCTTCAAAGTATCCAAACCTTCTTTGCTCAGCTTCTCAAGCATTTGCTCCCACACGTGTTGTACTTCAAGGACGTTCAAAAGTACCATTTGATAATGTTCTTCATCGTCATCATTATTAGATATTTTCTGGACGATCAAGTCAGATGCGTCCATGAGGCAACAAGCAACACCAGCACTAATATCGTTCTCTTCAGCAAAACACTCGATACTTTCACGGTTTATTTTTCCACCAAGAGCGCTCAGCATCCAGGAATAATCCATCGYCGCGAACTCATATGGGAGAAGACGAACGTAACTGGGTTTGGGTGGCAATGGAGAGACCTGGATTGGGTACACTACTTTATGAGACGTGGAGCGCTGACGGTACAACGCAATGTTGAGCTCCTCAACCAGTTCTTTTGMATTCAAGTAGGCAGGAGATAAAAAGATTATGATCAGTTGTGCAACATCCAAGTCGTTAAGCCTTGAAGTCGCGTTTCTTCGAGGTAAACTAATCGTGATGCTAGGGCACTGTTTGAGAAGAAGGCACTTCATAGCTTCAGCAGCACTGGCATCTTCTTCTGCAAAACTTAAAGCTACAGTACAAGCCACCTCGTTGCTATTARTAACAGACTTTGGTGTGGTTCCATGGGTGTGTCCGGCTTGAGTTTTTGGTTGGTRACCAGGAAAGACTAGTGGTTCACTCAGAAAATTCTTACGAATCACGACTTTGATCTTTCTGTAATTCTGGGTGAGCTCATCRATCGAAATCTGTTCGTCTGTCAGATGGGTCAGTCTTCTTTCTATCTCACTTTCGTATTGAGAGCAACCTGTTGACAATATATAGGGGAAACCTTTATAACTAATGATTATCACTGATTTGACGACTTTTAAAGCGCCCTTYCTATTATACTCAAGGGCGCTCTACAATCATAAGAGGTTGTTAGTATGAGGTGAAGACAATGAGGGTGGTCACTGCCAGGGTTTTTTTACACCCTCAGAACTTCCAATCGAAACTTGTCATGCAATCCTCCCTCCTTGCCTGGAGAAAATCCCTGTCTAAAGACTCCTTGTCGCCTAAACATTCTAAACGTCAATCATCACATATCATGGACATCATTTTTTAGCCGGATTGTGATTCGTTGTGGTGTAGCGTTGGGGCTCTCGACTCTCACCTCCCGGGTTTTTGGGTTCGATTCCTGGACTCGGCATTACATGTGAGTAAAGTTAGGTCTCTCCTTTGAATCGAAGGTTTTTCACCGGGTTCTCTGGTTTTCCTCCCACCGCAAAACCTAACACGCTAAATTCCACTATTGGGTGTTTGCATAGTTAGCTGTACCCTAAGCCCAGAGTTTGTTTCAGGGCCGTATCGATAAAATTTGGAGGCTTGACATACCTTGCAATGAGGTGGATATATTCTTGGCAATTCTAGCAAAAAGAYTCGGACGGTCTACCTCCACTGAGGTACATTCCACTGGTTTGGGTTTTTGACACCAATGAGGTAACTCGRCGATGTCCTCAATGAGAATAGACACGAGTTTGAAGTCTCTGCTTTCATCCATGTGGAGAGCGAGAGCCAATGAGAACTCTTCTTTACATACTTTAGACTTGAGGTAATCAGTAGAAAGTAATGCTACCATTACTTTGGATTCGTCTGGTAAATATATTAAACACCAAAGATTAGACATCAGTCATATAGTACGGTAACGGAGGTAAATATAATGCGCACACAACGATCAAAGAAAAAAAAACAGAATTAATATAGAGTACCAAAGAGTTGTTCAAGTAATCCACAATGCCTAGTCAACGATGGAAAAGCCTAAAACACACAAAAAAGCCTACCGGGGTTTTTTGAGGTATAAAGTGAATATATATATGGGATGACACAACGGGGTCATGTGATAGCATACCATAACATTTCGAGCTGCCCGTTTCATTAATTCATTAATTGCCCTGATTTCCATCGACGYCCAATATGCTCTAGCTAACCGTGGGCACCTAGAAATATTTCAAGAATGTTTCTTAACCACTCAGAAGCGTTATTATTATCTTTCCGTTATCTTGTGGTTAGAAATTAAAGTCAATTCTGATTGGCCAAAGAAGAATACAACATTCCTGAAATATTTCTAGGTGTGCCCACGGTTTTTCGATTCACACTGTAAGATTCGGTCATCATTCGAAAGCCTTCATAAAAAGTCGGTTGCGAGAAACACTTACCTATTGCATGGTACAATGATTGTTGCCATGACGCCCCGGTAYTGAGTCCAGAAGAATCGATGAACACATTCAATGCTGGATCAATAGTCTTCAAACTTGTGAGYATTCGGATGGCGTCGTCTTTATTTTGATGTGAATATGATATGAATAMTTCGTAGTCTTGAGCCACTAGAGGCTGGTCGGCTAAGGCCTTCATCGTCTCGGTAGATACTGTTTTGACGCTGTTTGCTTCTAGCCATTGCTTTATTGAATCCGAAGCCATTTTCAGTTTTTCGATGTTTTTGGGTCTAAAAAAAGAATGCGTATTATGGTCGGAAAATTGAATTCAAGAGTCATGCACGTCTTTCTACTCTGTGCATGTGTAGCTATCATAGGCTGTTTTCCTATGAATGCCGTATGTCACTATACCTTTCCTATTTACCCTACC